CCACCGAGACTGCCAGTAGTCTACAGTTGGAGAACACCTGCTGGGTTCAATGATACTTTAGATTCTGAGGGAGTTGACGTTCACAGGTAGTACGATATATACAGACGCAAGATCCAACCAATACCCACAACTTCTACAGTACCCGTTCTGCGTAGACCGAAGGCAAAGTAAAATACCAGAAATGATCGTCCAAATTACGAGATACATTTCGGGAGCAAATCGGAGTGCGAAGATGATTGCTTAGCTAGCTAAGGATCGTGCAGCAAGGACGAACAAACGCCACACAATGGCGTACCAAATGTCGTGGATGCTTGACCGGAACAGTGAGGGTCAGCATCTAATAATTATGGGGAATTACCTACCGCTACAATACCATTCTATGCAGGTGTATAATCTGGGCATTGTGACAGAGTGTAATTCCATATACGTTTATCTCAAATATCACGGTGATGTAATATTAGCAACACGATGGCCTTTCAAGCAAAAATTACTGCTCATAATCATATCAGTAGGTTCACATGGCGTAATAATTTGCGTGTGTGTAAACACACTTTCCTCTCTATCTGCTTTGTAGATTGCTGCCACTATTATATACCTCTTGTATAAGCACTGTGTCATTTCGATTGCACGTGTTTCGCTGAATCGACGAACAAAGACTTAGTGATCAACTTCTCTCTATGCTATATTAATTTTTAATACTTTCTTCCTGTCTTACCCTATTGTATGAATACATGCCATTCAATGACAGAGCTTTTTATAGGATCATTCGTATTCTAGATCTAGCTAAATTTTTATGTTCTGACAATCTAATTGACACTTGATCGGCTTATTTTGTAACGAAAGTGAGAAGGCAAGAGCCAGACAGCAGATTGTTTATTGAGAAAATCAAGAGATATTTATACATTTTTAAAGTACATTATTATCAGCAGAAAAGCAACCTCTCCTGACTGGTTGTTTTCTTGTTCAAGGTTATTCTGTTATCTATTTGTGGCCATTTCTCAAAAAGTTATACCCCACATACCTATGAATCTTAATTGCACACTTTAACGAAAAACAATATAGTTTCATTGGAAATCATAAGTCACAAGGAGTGGATATATCTACACCAGCCATTGAGACCATTTTGAGCCATGTCACCAATTGTTTCCAACCATTGCTTTTTACCGTCACGAGGACCCCAATCAGGAAGTCTACACCTTCCTACGTGGCTTTGACTAACTGTTGTGCATTTCATTGACTGGTGACATGTTTTGGTTTGACCTCCGCTAGCTTTTTCCCAGCCTGACCCTATATCAGCTAACATCGCCCGTCGGTCGAGGAAGGCGATGACTAGGCATACGTAACACATGTCCTAACCATCTCAGTCGATGTAACTCCACAACCTCGTCGATTGATTTCCCCTGTTTACCTAGAACTCGACCGAATCCTAACCTCAATATTGCTCACCTTATTATACCACTTAACAAACATGGGAGATAGAACGCAGGCACCTATGATCAAAGACAGCTGGCTAGTCTTCTCATGTCTTCCACTCTCAGTCACAGCCATAAAGGAGGATGGAGTGGACTGATGAGCAGTACACACGTCCATCGGTCGACAGACAGACGGATATCACGTCTACGTCAGAGACAGCGTAAACTGGCATATGCAAAACTAGCCCTCTGTATCCGTGCTGAGATTTATTGATATAATTATAGAATTTCAGCATTGTGGTAGAATATAACTGGATTATGGAGAAAATTTTATCATGATAAAATCTTATAATACTATTTACTGATGATATTTCGAGCACAATTTATTGCTCATGATCACATCCAGGTATTCAAACACACACATTCTGACTACATTCATACACATAAGTTAAAAGTTGATTAGACATATGAATCAGTGCGTAAAATCAATATAAGGTTCAATAGACATGTGTGAAACAGAAAGGAAGATAAGGTACATTCCTCATCTTATTGACTAACAACACTCGTCTTATTTCCCATCACATTATATTTCGTTGATAGCACAAAGATTACTTACGAATGTACTTGATCTTCCTTTCTGTTTCACACACCTTATATTGATTTTTCTTCATTCATGTCTAATCAATTTTTTTACTTATGTTTATGAACGTAGTCAGAATGTGTGTGCTTGAATACCTGGATGTGATCATGAGCAATAAATTGTGCTCAAAACGTTACTAGTTGAATATCACTGTTCAACACTGAGAATTTGCCAAAATAAGATTTCCTCCGTTATAGACAAAGTTTATGTCTGGGCGAGTTGGTTGGTTTAGATGCCATTCTAATTCCAGCCCCACTGAGAATACTACGTAAGGCCTCTGATGTTACAATATAGAATTGAAAGCCTCTACAGTGCCGTCATACAAAGCCACCCTCCAGTGACAGATATTTCATCCTTAACGAACACTTTATGCCCAATTTCAATATTATTCATTATACCATACCTTTGTTAACAAGGGAGACAGAATACACACACACACTTATACTCAATAACTATCCTTTAGAGCTATATATTAGGTCTGGCGTGCTGCTGTGCAGTACACATGTCCTTAGACAGGTAACCGGATACAATTTGACAAATACCTCAGGAATCGTTGCTATCCAGGATAAGATCTCGTCAGCTATCACCACAACCATTTCCCACACACCTCGGTACACCATCAATCTTACATTTAACACACTTAGAGAATCTTGCTAATTGTGTTCAGTGTAGGGATTTCCAGCTCAGCACTATATGAATATCAACCTCCATTATGGATAAGATATTATAATGATAAATCACACAGTAATATTAAATGACGTTTCGAGCGCAAACTACTGCTCATAATCATATCAAGCAACAATTTGTGCTCGAAACGTGGTCATCAGTTAATATATTACTGTGTGATTTATCAAAATAAAATCTTATCAATAATTGAGTTATACTCTACCACCACAGTGTCCAAGTTTTATACTTATATCAACCTTATTGTTTTAGGAGTTAGGCAGATCAGGTAGATGGGTACTTAGCTTCCGCAGTGGACTCCAACACTACCACATCGCAATTACAATTTAATATTGATATGTATCCACCATGACGTGTGTTTTGTTTTTGACAGCCTGTTATATTTTGCTATCTGTATATGGATCGATATTCCATTATGAGATGACTGTCTATTGGTTCATGTGTATTAGTCATTTTCATATATACTTGTGTACTGTATTCTTGTCCACACACTTTTTCGTACATTCGTACCATTTCACTCACACACTTGTGTGGCATTTATTTTCCTTGTCTGGAAAATACAAGTATCATCGTAAACCTCTTTCCGCGTCAGGACTATTAACTACTCGACGAGTACATAACAAATATAGACATTGGTTACTAACGAAAAGGTTTATTAACGAAAAAAAACGCACAAGTGTATTATTACAACTCAACAAGTATTGAGCATGTGCTCTAACGCTGAATTTCTTGCGAAATGACATACACAAAAACTGTCGCTAAAAACTAAACAAGTACTAGTCGTCTATTTTTCCCCCACAACAAGCGTTCATGAAGCACAGAACCTACAAGCCAAGGCTGTGAGAATTTAGTGGGCTATCAATTCGCGAAGTCCCGCTTTTTCTATCGGTGAGTATCCCTATTCCTTCCCCCTCTAAAAACACTCTGAATTAGTGGACTCCACTAACAGCCAAATTCTTATTATACTTTAAGAATGAGAAGTACTCATAAGGAATTCAAGTGAATGATGATTACTAATCGAAATCTACTTTCAGGGGGAAACAGTTCTGACACATACAATATCTCCACATTTAATGTATGCATTCATCATACTTGCTAGCCGACAACACATAAGATCAAGTTAGGAATGAGTAAGGCGTGATCAAGTCAAAACCTGATAACAAGAAGCTATAGTGTGTCTTTGACCGGTAATTTAGGCCACAAACAGGGGATTGGGAGGTTCTCAGAATGCTAAGAATTACTGGCTAGAGGTTACTGGCAACATTGCTTAAACTTGTTGGTAGTTACCGCAGCCACAGAGGCATTAACTATTTGTAACCTTTCCTATTCACTAAAATAGATCGCATTTCTGCTTATTGTAGTACACTTCTGGATCTAATCACTCTCTTTCCCTCTTGCCCTATTTTGTCCAAATTTGTTTGTGTGTTAAATGGACTGTAGCAACCAGAACTACTGCATTTCTGTTCTATGCGGACACTCAATTAGTCATACTCCTCATATCAATGGCGCTATACACAACACATAGATAACACAGGCCAAAAAAGCTTTGTTGTCTTGTGTGTCTGTGTGTGAGCGCGAGTGCGCAGAAACCCCACCACCAAACAACAATAGATTCTCATTAGAATTCACAATGATGGTAGTAGTCCACTTTGTCTTTACTTCACATCATACCGTTTAAAGAATAATGTCTTGATGTGATGTCATCAATCATTGTAGAGGCTGTAACCACACACACATGTGTGTGTAGTGAGAGCTGGCTGTTAGCCAAAATTGGTGGACAGTAATTTACGTCAATGTTTGTTTACGTCCGCAATATTGGTCGTGGGAAAAATGGGAACAAACAAAAGCTTTGCGTAGGCGGATGACACAGTTAGCATATAGATGATCTGACATTCAAGAAACAGTCACAAGGAGAGATGCAAGGTTAACTTGAGAAACGCGAGAAACAACCAATCAGAAAGCTGCAGCAGCATTTATTGTTACCTTTTCCACAATGATTTGTTACTACACAAAAACAGAAACAAAAGGATTTTTAAGTAGTAACAGTTTATGACACAGATTAATAATAACAGTAATTTTAATGAGTAGTTTTCATGGGAAATTGACGTCGTTCACTGGGATGAGTAGAATTAGAAAATGACAAGTGAGGAATAAAAGAGAATAAAAACGCACACGTATATGGACAACAAAAGAGTAGTAAATGTACGAAAATGTCTACCCTTCTTTCAAACTTCAACTACTTCGCCCCGAACCCACCCGTACCACTACTGAGGATCACTACGACTTCTTTTAGGTGAATTATACAAAGGTTCTATTTTTTCAGGCATAATTGGAACCTCTTGAACACCGTCATCATCATCACCATCCTCCTCATCATTGTCAGCATTCGTTTCACCAGAATTGATGTTATCGCTATTATTAGGCAGGCGTCTTTTAACACCAGCATCACCTGTGCAGTATTCAGCATCTTGATCTTCAGACATATCATCAACACTTTGGTCATACGTGAGATCAGATTGACTTTCATCTGTATTGTTATTATTATAATTATTCTTATATGGTGAAGGAAAAGGTTCCATAAGAAGCACCTGTAAAGTTAAAAGGGAAAAATAATTGCGGTGCATTGAAGTAAAATAGAAGAAACCTGGTTCATATTATTATTATTACACTACACATTATTAAGTACATATACATCGACTGACTAAATAATAAAAATCTACACACACACACACACACACACAGATGAAACTATATCAACTGTGAAATGGGATGGAAATCTCACAGTGAACTTCCTTTATTATTCAAACCACTATCGACCACCACCAGGGGTGGAGAAGAAATGTTGGCTCATTTAACATACGACACGTAACCTTCCAACTTTTAACCAATGACAATATGAAAAAGTATATATGGAAAACCTGCATATCAACGGGTCAGTACACACACATTTTCTCAGCTTCGCGCCATTGAAATACAAACGCAATTTGATAAAGTGCTTGGTCCACCAGAGAGCGAGAGCGATTTGCTTGGAGGAATGTCTTGATGAGGAACTTAATAATATTAAACGGTTGCGAAGTGAAAATGGTTATCCTGAAGTGTATTGATAAGATTATGAATCTAACACTGAAGCAGTCAAAGTTACCAACAATTCCAAATAAGGAAGGCCTTATTCTTACAGATGCAGTTCCTTAGGGTTAACACCAGCGCGACACTAACACAGCAGCTTTAGAAATGCGGTAAGGCGAAGAGCATTCCCTGCTGCCGAATCACACTGTGTCTTCAAAACTACTCCTCTTTTGCGTTCCGGAGTAAAAGACACACTGCCTAATTTCGCCTCTTCTATGTGTATCTACCAATTTAACTGCTCCTGTGGAGCCAGTTACATAGGCCGCACAATTAGGCGTGTTTCTTGTCGAATTCCCGAGCATCACCCTCCATGATAGTTAAGCAAAGGACAAACGAAGTCTATTTGTAGCGCTATTCTATCTCATCTTGTGGATACAGAACACAAGATTTATGTTAACCAGCCTTTCAGGTTCATTTACCGCATACCGACAGACCTTAATTTCGCCTTAAGAGTTCAACTACTAAATATTGCTGAGGATGGCTGTCGGGATTCATATTAACAAGCCTAATTTGTGCATCCAAAAGAAGTTAGTTCAGACATTTTCATTACCTTGGCCAACTAGGTTTGAATGACCCTGAATTTTCGTGGAATTTTCCTAATTTTAGTTGACATCCTATTCGCTACTATATCTTTATTATTATTATTATTATTATCATAATTATTATAATTTAAGCATCTTCAATGAACTGTTGTAATTCCATTGTGAACTTACTGTACAAATCGATATTATTTAAAAAAACACTAATATAGTTATTAACTACCAATCTTGAGTATTCTGTGTATATAAACATGCATACATAATTGTAGAGCCAGAAGAGGAATTTATCGATAAGAATATTCTTTGCTCGATTATTTTGTGTTTTATAGATGTCTCAATGATAGAAAGTTTGGAGTCGCGGCTTAATTTACTCACAACATGTGTATAAACTAACTTGTATCGTTAGCCTTCAATACACGATAGTATTACAATTCTTTCGCATGCCTTCAGTAGGACATCTCCATTCCAGTCGGTTTACTGAAGACGTGTGTTTGGCTGGCTCCAACAACTGCCCATAGGCTTTCATTGCCTTTTCACCTTCCACGTCACCTATGATATGAACGCCCATCTTGTTTTTCATTGAGGATCTAAACTAGCGTGCAGAGAATGATGTCATGCGACAATCTCCTCAGCATGTGCCCGCGTTCTAGCAAGACGATTGGAGAAAATGTTAGGTGATTGAAGCTCTGTACGCGCATGGGTTTCGTGCTTGTAGGTACTCCGTCAGTAACGCCTATGTGTATCTGTCTCCTTTGAGATTCAAAACCGCATCATCCAGTGCTGCAGTTAGAGATGTTATCAATGAACTCTTGTAGGGGGCTGTAATGGTGACTTTTGTTCATCGCTATGTAGTAACACCAATGTCATCCAACCAGTCCCTAGGTTGGTGCAGCAAACTGAGTCTATTCGAAATTGCAGATACGCGCCTTGCTGACGACGAGTGCACAAAGTCGCATGGCTCCCTGCTGATTGTCTCTCTAATCAATTCGGTGTGCACCGAAATTACGAGTCATCCATCCCCACCACCTAACACATCATGACCACCACACACATACTGCCAAAAACCCTTGACTGCTAGAATTCAGTCTACTGCTACACACACACACACAGGGATCAAGCAAAACACCCAGATACTGTCTATTGAAAAAAAAACCAAAAAAAAAGACAATAGGACAACAACATCAACAACAAAACCTATCTCGTTTGAACATTTACAATCAGAGAAATTGTTGGAAAAAAAGCCCCTGTGAAAGTGACATCAACTGGCGAATTATTCGATACTACACGGAGGTATGGAAAACAAACACGCGTAAAGCAGAACAACAACGACAACCACAGTACAGACACACACACATACACCTGATTAGGAGGCTAGTGATAATTGCCAGTCGCATGCATCTGGACCAGAAAAACACAATAAAACAAGGCAAACGTAACACACACACACACACACAAACGAGAAGTATTGACTCACTTTATAAATTTGTTTAAATTCAATCTGTCGTACAATCCGTTGCGCGGAGAGAGTTATCTTTTCACAGACATCCTTTGAAATTCCCTTGTTAACGGTTAGATAAAATGGTTTAGAACAGGCTAGAGGAATTGCATCGTCATGAGGCATGAGTGCAGCAGTATTGTTCTTATCTCCGTTGGACAATTTTTGTTGTTGCTGTTGATGTTGTTCAACAGCCAAATACATGTATCCACAAGCCAATGATTCAAAAAATCTACGCAACAATTTACACGGTTGAAATAAATCATGCATCAAATATGGTGGGACAAAAGTTCTTGGCGATTGGTTAGGAGAAGATGGAGGAGCACCGGCAGATGAATATGGACCAGAATGTGCCAAAAAGTCATACTCAAGGCATAAAAGACGATTAAGGTGTGCCTCCACATCCTAAGCAAAATATAAAAGAGAGACAAAGAAAAAACATATCCATATACCACAGCAGCATAAAATCAATAGTAATCGCTCGAAGCTCGATCCTGGACATCGCATCGATGTCAAAACAACTTTCAGGGTTATATACCGAATTCCGAAGTCCTTATCACGTACAGTTCGCTTACGTCTCCTACACATAGCTGAAGCTGTTGCAATAAGACCGACTAAACCGGAACTCTGTATCCAAAAACAACACGTCCAGACACTGTTACTACAGTGGCCAACCTTGGATTGAAGATTTTTCTTCTCACCAAGAGTGCTCCTTCCCCTTAACCCTCTTGGTTTTTTTCTTTTTTACTTTGCTTATTATTATAAACATTATTATTACAGTTATTATTATTATTCGTCATAATTTAGGTCCTTTATGCAAACATTCCCTCAATACTATCGAATTTTCATTTATACGGACTTATTATTAGTGATATTATCTCTTTTCTCAATATATGCCTCCACCTGTTTAATTTAACATATTGGTTATCGCATTATGAACCTCTCGTTGCAGTCTCACTATCTCCTGTTTAATACAGACCACTTTGCACTAGCCAGTCACCTGACACCTTTTATAACTTTGAACTGATTTGTCAATTTTCCTACCCCACACTCTACAAATCTATTATGATTAATCACCACCATTGTCTTCCGTCTTACAATATTTTCTAACCGATTTCAGCCAACTAGCACGTTTGTCTCACACACAAATACGACTACTTATTTTGACACCACATAACTACAAATCTGTTATTCTACGTTAAAAATGTATCCGCCGCATAACTGGCCATTATTGTAACGACCACAAATACATGGTTAACGATGCGTTTACAAAAGTAGAATAATACTTGTTAGTCCATGGTCAAATTTTGATCACAGTTCATGCAATTTTTTGTTTATTATATATTTTGATGCCTATTCATGACTCAGATAATTGGACAAGGATTTATTTTAACGACAAGAAATATCTGTTTTACATGTGTGTACCTTTGTTTTTTTTTTAAAAATTTTTTATTAGTTTCCATATTCAAGTTCGGATCAAAGTTTGATGAACGAAAACACATTGGAATTACTTATTTCAATTTCGCTGAAATTTTACAAATATAAGTATCATTTTTACATGTTAGGCATGTGTGTGTTATTAGGTCACCACCACCATCGAATGCATTATTATTATTATTACAAGCCATTTTAGTTGTAGTCTTGAACTAGCCTGGAAAAGACTCAAGAGTGGTTAGAGAAAAAAAAGCATTGCACAAGTCCATGAATTCACCGAGAATTCGTTAGAATCATGTGCACAGTCATGCAAGTTTCCTGGTTTAGGGTAGGAGGAGGGTCACCTTCGGGATACTAAGAATAAATGGATGGAAATTGATGTTTGTATGGCTCGAAATCGGTCACAATGACGTATATATTTATATACGCTCGTTGTGGTGTTTCAGATTATGCGAACCACCTATACTGACTGGTCCAGGATTTTCTTTTGTTGTTAGAGTTCGACTGCGTTTCTTTCCAATAAATACTTGTATGCTTACTTTATTTTTTCACTCCTTTATGTTTCCAGTGGAAATTATAAAGTAGTCATTGGGGGGTTTTTACGGAGTGCGGTGGCTAGACACTCACTCATGTCCAACCTTCCCACTTCCCCCGGCTAACTATCTGCTTGCTTTAGTGTATACTAAGAGTGAGTAGAGGTCAGTTATGAAATTCGGACCACGTGTTTGGTTGGTGAGGTGTCTTACACTGAACCACTGTTTGCTTATGAATTATGACAAACTTAACTGTTACAGTCTTGTCAATCAATTAAAATAAATAAACAAACATAGAGCTTAAGCTTAGTAAATGGAAGTTGGGCTTGGAGGTGTGGTGATGATGATGATGTTGTAACACAATATTAATTAAATAGGTGAAACTTACAAATTCATTCAGATCAATCCAGTATTCATTTGATTGGAGGAAATCGCGTAAAATACGACTGACCATGTTAAGTGGACCTCTTGATGAAGCGTTCTGAATTGAGAGAGGAAGAACCAAGAATTATGAGATACAAAAAAAAGAGATAGACAAAGACCAAGAGAGTGGACACTTGATTTTCAACAGATCCTGTCTGTTGCATGACACTGAAAGCAAAATTGACGTCATCGCGCGTTTAGAAGCACAGAATAAATTCTACACTACACTACCAGACCTTTGATATCCATTAGCATTATTAAATAATGCACACAAACTTCGTACACATCGTGGGCACCAAGAGATACGCCACAGACAAAATCTTGTAGTTTATGCGAAAGCTGAGATACTGCCTCAACGATGCACATACCGAAGCAGATGGTTGTTTTTAGCACCTACCTTATTCGAACCTTTGACTTGAAGTCAGATCAACAAGACACAACGTGGTGAAGCTGCGTTCTCATAATATTTGACGGTAATCAGTGCAGGTCCATACATTATACGATACATACGTCCGCAATCTGGAGCTCGTGTATAGAATAAGTTCGGAATCGGAATTTGCCAGCTCCTCTAGATAAGTAGACTAGTTAGTCCAGCAGTTCTTTTATAAGCACCGGACGTTTGCATTCGCTCTTTAAGGGAATACCCAGCCGCATAAAGGCTAAACTTACATGGCACAGGCTATGGACGCCTGCCCACATGGAAAGCATTTGACGAGGAAGACAACAGCCTACTCATCATCAGCTGTAACAGGTGATTTACGGACCCCGTTAGAGCGAACTGGTGTCATATCAGTGTTAAAACAGAAGACGGCTGACACCGTTTGCCAGTTTTGAAAAACCCACAAGGCATTTTCGATCAATGTTGTATTTTTGCTAAATTAGTTTTCCGTCTAACACTTTTTTTTCTACCTTTGTCAACACTTCTTCTGTGTACACTGTTACATGAACCTCTACACGCTGATCGATATGTCTGATACAGAACAGTAAAATACCGTTACTAATAGTGTGAATGGGGGAATCAATCGCTGACACTGTGACCAGTAGTATCAACTATAATCCAACAAAAAAAATTGATGTCACCACTATACTTGGGACCACGGAGAGAACTAATGGTATACTGCTACCAACACAGTCATTCTCTCTCCCCTTAACAACACGCAATTTCCCTTTCCTCAAGAAAAAAGTTTAATAAAGCTTCAACTATTCACTTACCATAAACCACCTTGCCTGGTGAACAGCTTCCAACGATTCAACGCATAACTCCTTTGGTAGCTGTTTACCATTAGTGACCAAACGTTTAATAATTGGTACTTCTTGAAAAGTTGGTAAATGCAGTAAAATAGAAAAGAAAAATTAATGTTTGTATTATCGGATAAATTGAGGAGAAAAAACACGACAACAACAACATTAGACACAAGAATTTACGACCAAACTTCGCTAAATCAATGTCTGTTTCTTCCTAGAAGGCTCTTAAGAATGTATGAGAGTCTCAACATATCGAGTAATGGTTTGCAGGGTTTTCATCATAAGTTCACATCAGTCAGAGAACCACTGGGAAAACCACCAGGGAGTACTGGATAGTTTCTACTTCCGTCCTACTTTGAGACTCTATATCAAGTACGCACATATACCAGGGTTTGAACCCAGGGGACTTCAACCACTAGGATGAAATCTAATAACTCGTGAATTACTAACTCCCACCGATTCACAATGTATGACGCAATCACTAGCCAACGTCATATGTGAAAAGCTAGATGTCCTCTTGTAACGAAAAAAGACAAGGGCCAGGCAGCAACACATCGTTTATTGAGAAAAATCAACAAGTATTTATAGAGTTTTATGAGCATTATCATTGGCGTTATTGATAGCGGAGAAGCAACCTCTTCTGATTGGTTGTTTTTATTGCTGAAGGTTATTCAGCTTTCTTTTTGTGACCGTTTCTCGAAACATCAAGCTACACATCTGCTAATTATATTTCCACACCTTAACTCGGCTGTGATTGGTTGGTTTTCTCAAGGTCACATGACCCTGATTCCGGACGTGAAGACTGATATGAATTGTTGTCTACTATTTCGACTTGCAGACAGCTCTCACCACAATATTATCAACTGGCCAGATGAATTTTTAATATAAAACTTTGAACAGAAATGTGACAGTTCAAGTTGCGCCGTACAAGGCACGGGAAATCAAGATAAAAAAGATAAGAGTGGGAATGTATGAAAGAAAAAGAATCACAGCAAGAATCTAATGGATCTAGGAGTCCATATAGATTGATAACATATGTGTCATTGACAACGATTTTGAACCATATCATCACTAGTGTAAAGTCATTGGTTCTTAACACCCTGAAAATCCCGATCACGTAGTTTACACCACTCTGAATGGTTGGCTTCAATTAAGAGAGAAAGATATCATGGACTGATGTTAGGTTTCAGTTTGACTACATCCAAACTCTTTTAAAATCGCATACGATGTCTGCTAACATTGCTGGACGGGAACAAGAATGGTTCGGCGTGTGTATCACGTATTCTGGCCATCTCCATTAATGAGGTTGTTATAAGCTGCATCGATTGACTTACTTTCCTTACTGCAGACTGCGCCAGACGTACCTCGCTATGCTATACCACCTAATATGGGAGACAGGTCGCAAACATCAGTGGTCAAAGACAGTTAGCCCTGGCTTATCTACCACTTCGAATGACCATGTCTCACAGCCAACATCAACGAGGATAGAGCGAACTGGTGCGGAGTATACAGATTTTCTGATTAACAGCAGATATTACATCTACGTCACGGACGACGTAGGTTGGCCCTCCGTTTCCGTGGTTAGAGATTTCGTCAGCAATTATCCCGCTGGGCTATGTAACTCTCAAAATATATGACTCCTTATCAATCATTACTGTGACTTCAAAAACAAATTTTTAAAAGGAACTAACATGATGACCCGACGGAATCTTAGGAAAGTCAGTCAACAGAAAACCCACTTGGAACGGTCAAATAAGTGTCTACAGTTTGGCTGCGACCGATAGCTGCTACCTTAACCTGGTGGTCGGGCTTGCATATCGCTATGACCCACCAAGCTATACTGGCTGGAACTAATGTTCTTGCATGTCCGACCATGCCAAGAAGATTGTTAGGATGGCGGTAAGACTAAAAGCAGTTACCGACATATTGTAGGATTTTTCTTTGCGGGCAAAGTCGTACTGCTGGGGAACAGGGATGTAACTGTAGTGGGGTGTTTCCTTCAGATGACCAGCATGCCAGCTATGCTGTCTCTCCACACTGTGGAGAGGGGGTTGGAAAAAGTCGACACCAACAATTGTACATCCCGACTTACCCTGCAGTGATCCGTAGTCGGTGGTAAGTTACTAATACGAAGCCAAACAGGCCGTATGTGACCAGCCTCAAGCAGTTGTCCCTGGGCTCTGCGGTCACGAAACACTAACTCTCTTTTTGTTGCAGGTACCCAAAGAATCAATCAACTTTCACGGTATGGGCAGCAGGGAAGTAACAACCACCCACACACTTCTATTTTCTATCCTTTTTCAACCTGCCTTTACTCTCTTCTCTTACTTTATGTTCTAAATGGAGTTTGACGACTGAAACTGTTGCACATCTTTGCAAAGTTGTTTTTTGTTGAAACCAGTCAATCAGTCTACAGTTGGGTGTCTGTTGAACGAAAACGAAATCTAATTAAATCCCTTGCCAATCAGATCCGACAAATCTGCAGTCCTGATGCCCTGGAAGCTAAACTGGGTCTTCAGAAAGAAACTTTCATCCGAAATAGATACCCATCAAGATTCATCGACGAGAATATCAAACCAAAGGTCTAGAGGAACGGAACAACATCACTTGTTGCAAAATAGATAATTTACATGAAGCTGGATTTCAAGGGAGACTTAGCCTGCCATATTCTAGAGCGGAAAATTTAAGCATCTTTGAGAAGAGCATTCTTCGCAACAACGCTAAGAGTGATGCTCTCCAGTGACCCGTTGGTTTGAAGGAGTAGTAAGCAATAGACCCCCTGTTGCTGTGAAGCCAGGTACACTGATTGTTCGACGCGTATGCTGTATGAAAGGGTTCAAGAACATTATCGCGCTTGGCTGAAGGAAGGTAATAGTGGCTCTATAAAAGCAATGTGATAATCAAACATCTTGTCAGCACTGGTCATATTTCACCTCAACAAACGCCTCCTGCTTCATCAAAGTAATCTACAAAGTGAAGAATAACCTTTCAAGGACAATACGTTTTCATCTCCTTTGTATTGCTGAAGCTTTGGTAATTCAATTGGAAAAACCAGAGTTATGCATACAAAAGAAAGTCATCCAACCATTTCTACTATTCACGGTAACGACTGTGTTAATTTCTACTGACCAGTTGTTTATGTCCTTGCTTTTCTAACTAACTCCCTGTAACTTTTGTACCTCTTTAGAACTCTTATAAAGGATGATATTTTCCTTTGTTTCTGTGTGAATCCTAATCACGAGTCACTCATTAAAATATCTGTCTTATTACGTAACTATAGTACATTTTTTCAACTTTTGTTCGCTGACAACTTATCAACCTATTACACTCTTACTAATCCTCACCCATCCCATTGGCATTATATATATATATATATATATATATATATATATATATATAATTGCATGAAGGATTTTGATTATGAGCTTACATCAGGTACAGAACCAATGGGGAACCTGAGAGTACTGGACAACTGTTTCGTCCTAGTCTGGGAATCTTCATCAGCACACACTCACACCACGGGGTTCAAACCCAGGACCTTCTGGTTACAGGGCGAGCTCGTAGACCATTGAGCCACTGGGACCCGATCGAATGGTCCCTGAATTCTAACTTCTGCCGGGTGGGTGCGTACTGATGAATAGTCCCAAACTAGGACAAAACAGCTGTCCAGTACTCCCAGTGGTTCCCTAACTGGTGTCAGCTCATGGTGAAATCCTTCATGCAATCAAATAAAATCCCTTCAAAACCAATACTTGAATATATATATATATAATTGCCAATGTACAGTTAACTGCATGAATTCAACGAAAAGAGACTTCTCGCTGAACGGTGTTTTGCTTTCACCAATACCTGGATGTGGATTATATTCATGAAAAGCAAAAGATACGCGATTAAATACAACTCAGGTCAGTTACACGAACAAGAATAATAACAACAACAACAACAATGATTACCTGATATATCTCTAGTATCAACTGTCTTTTCTCCCGCCACTACTGGAGATGACAGTGAAATTTTCAAAGTTATAACAGGCCATACAGTGGGAGAAGATTGTTTCTTTGGACTGACATCAGCCGGCGAATTATTCTCGTTTAGTGCAGACGGATCCGGACAGGAGACAACAACCGTAATTTTTCCCGAAGAAGGCTCTGGTGTAGTAGTATATTCAAGACGGGATTCCAGTGACTGTGTTTAAAAAATCAAGGCAATATATGCATTTAAATTACAACCCAAGATCGATAACACCCTCAGGTTCATTGATAATATATAGTTCACACACACACGCACACACAATAAAGAAGAGAAACATTCTCCATCAATTGTCCGCCTAATGAAAATGAACCTGCAGGATATATCGACCGGGGTTTTTTGAGGGAAGAAAATTCCTACCTTTGTTTTATATACCTGAATATGCATGGTGGTGTATGCAGCTTCCCCGACTGATAATTCATCTATGTAGAAATTAAAGTATCTCATGTGTACACGACTGTCTTGTCGCACAACTTTTTTTTCCGAAGACAAAGATATCTGAAACGGTGTCGACTATCACGCCTTTCACTCCTATTCGATAATACTTCTCATCAGCTGGTTTACGCCAAAACGACTACCAAGGAATTCCTTAAACAGTTTGAAGATCATATATACGCCGCTGTCAGGCAATAAAACTCATGAAAAGGTATAAGGAGTTTCTAACTAAGTGAGTAAGATTTCATTTCATTGAATAATTTCCATTGAAGTATTTAGTTGCACAGTATTCATCGAAGAGATTTTTCAACGAAATTGATTATCATGTTGTACAGTCTCATATTCCTTGAGAAAATTTATACACAACAGCTGTGATTAATAATAATGACTACCTCAATGGTCGTCACTGTATTATATTAACTGAGAAAAGCATTCGTGATTGTAATTATAGTTGTGTAACAACAGAAGACAAGGGCCAGGCAACAGATCGTTTTATTATGAAAATCAACACGTATTTATACATATTTCAGACAACATTATTATAGACAAGCGCAGTCATCTGATTGGTTGTTTAGGTAGACAAACGCAGGCTTCTGATTGGTTGTTTCGGGATTCCTTGACAAACAGAGTTCTCTATCTGCGAATCATATTTTGCCACGTTAACTTTGCTGTGATTGGTTGTTGACTCAGCCTTGTTCACGGCCCATATTAGTGACCTAGACCTTAACGTAGATTAGTGCCAACCAATCGGCTAGCAGCCTGCTCTCACCACAGTTGAACAACAAGCAATAACACCAACAAAAATAGGTTATGCAATACACAAAACAGTTTCCAGAATGAATAAACCTTAAGAAGGGGGGTGTAGAGGACAAACTGCACAACACTTCTTTCGGACACAAAGGTCACTCACTCATCAGTTTAGCTATGGATAGCCTAAGCCTCCGCTTTTTTCAGTAACTGGTAACCAAGATGGTCGAGTAGGTCAGTATGAATTTTAATAAAAGACTTTAAAATCATGTTCACGGTTGGTTGAGTCACACAGAATTCGATTAAGTGTTTCAAAGTTGAACAAGTTGTTGCACCCTTTCTTTTACTTCTTCCATTATACGACGATACTGCAATATGCGTCCTTCTAACCGTTTGAGAAACATTCTATGGGTTTGGCCGAGATATGAACCGATAAATGTACACGGAGGTATTCAGACGCGCCTTACTGACTAATTTAGAAATAAACCACCTCCTTCGGAACTGAGTTGTACACAAGGTTCTGGCATAAATTAAAGAATAGTTGAGACTGTTATTATCATTACTATTATTAATTTTCGCGCCTTTCAGTTTAAATAACTACATGGAATATAGTTTTCCAAAAATCAGCTTGAGAAGTCGCTTTTTACTGAATATTGGCTATTTCATGACTTCCACATCACAACCTATCTTGATAATTCACAGTACTAAGTAGCGCGACACAGATAAGGGAACACACGGAGAAACAATACAATTAATTTCTTTCCGAGGACTAGTCACTTACACAATAACAAAAATGCCTGTTAGAACTCAGTTAACCTGAACAGATTTTTCATGTATTAGATTATGTAAAACCTGACGAAAACACCATTCAGTTAGGCAGACTAAAGTAAGTGGAGCGGGATTCGAACCCAGGATCTGTCATCCTCATAAACATCACCAACAATAATAAACTTCATGGTTCAGAGAAAAACTGTCAGACACATGAAACATTAATCGATCTCGTTTGTCAAGGCACTATACCATGCCATTTAGTTCAAGTAATAACGAGTGGAGTTCACGTAATTTCTTGTGATAATTTAACTAAGGATTCACAACTAGACACATTCCTTTGGAATATATTACTACTCTTATAGTCAATATTAGGTATCCAAAGCAACACAATACAATTGCGGTAAGTGCTACTGACGAGATTTATCAGTACTATATAGACGCCACCAGTCAAATCAGAGGAGGATAATAAATAATCTTCTATTTCAAATCAAGCACATCACAACATTCTAACAAGTTACTTATTATGACTACAAACACACTCGTCTTTTTATTTCTGAATGTACATTGTCTCACATTGATTTTTATTCCAATATCTAATTGATTCCACACGTGACGCAAAAAAGTTGTGTGAGTGGTGCCTTGATGTGATAATGAGTGGCAATAGTGTGTGCTCCAAAGGTGGACATCAGTTATTATTGCTGTATAACAACACTGTGACTTTTCAAAATGAAATCTTATTTATAATGGAGTATATAGATGCAGATTAAAAGTAACCAACACAACTGAAAACAACATTGGCTACAGAAGTAGAAGCGTTTTGATATGTCGTCACACGACGTCTGCCCAGTTTTGTCAGTCTGATATTTATTGCTATATGTCTATTGATCGTTAGTCGATTAAAACTCACAATATATCTTGTCTGTCCATTAACTAAATAAACAATGTGTGACAATAAGGTCACACGATATTGCAACCAATCAGAATTCAGTTGTGGTGAGAAAAACTACTTGTCAAGGTCATCAATTCGTTCATTAGGTAGCTTCGTTTAGAGTCAGTGTGTAGATTTTCTGTATACTCTTGTATGGTACAATTTAATTGACTCTCTTTCGTACTTTTCCACTCACATTTTTGTGTGACAGTTAATTTCCTTTACTGGAAAATACACGTATCCATTCGTGAACGTGAGGGGGTCTTCTGATTTTTCTCTTCGCGTCAGAGCGAATTAAGCTACTAAACAATGCCATTCTTTACGTTATCGTCCGTTAGGCAACACTAAAGAATAACAGCCTAAACGGAAACGACCTTAGAACGCACGAGTGACCTTGAGCAAGGAATCAGGTGACTCTTATTTCCAAAGGTAATTATTAATGCTCTACACCTTTTGCGTTGCGAATTCGCTCCGGATCTTGTTTTGATTACGGTTTGGAGAACGGACTGTTCAGGAGCCTATGTCGTTCGTTTATAATTTACAGATTCCTAAGGTATTTTTGATAATAAAAGACAATCGAGGGAGATTGAGTGTGAATCAGCAATAGGTATTGGGGATATATGACACCAGCGTCTAGAAAAGATATATTGAGGCGATCCCTAATCGCAGTGCAGGTGTGTATTCTTGCCTATTATCCAGCGCTTAATGCTGCCTGCGACGACTATTTATACAGATGAATGGAGTAGCTACAGTCAGTTACCGAATCTGCGCTATATTCATCAAGTGGTCAATCATACAAATGGTTTTCTTAATCCTTTCGATGGAACTCACACTAATTTCATTGAAAATTTCTGGAGTCTTCTAACAAAAAAGGTATCAAATCTGTGAATGGATAAAGAAATGCAATAATATACAGTTATCTCGATGAGTTTATTTACAGGACTTGGTTTAACATGGGAATCAAGACTCTTATGAGAAATTGTGAGGTTTTTTCGCAACATATACGAGAACGTTATCCTTTGTAACTATTTTTTAACATTGCACATTCCTTATATATAAATGACTTATTACAATTAAGCGCAGATTTTTTGAGCCTTCTGATTGGCCGAAGTTGTGCTTGTCAAGGTCATTTGTCAGTTCGCTAGGTAGCTTCGGTGTGGGCTGCTATTCTTTAGGGTTGCCGTCCGTTATATCTTATCTTGTTAGCGATATTTACACTCGGTAACTCCATAACACGTTTATTATTTCTCAAATCTGAGCCTAACTTACATTGTGGTCAGTAGATGATCTTATAGTTTAACCTTCAGGTAAACAACAACCAATCAGAACAGTTTACTATCCGCTAGTCTGGCTATAAAATTGTATAAATACGGTGTGTTTTTCTTTAATAAGAAGTCTAATACTAAGTCTGATAAAATACATTAAATAAATAATGAATACAGCGGGTAAACTATATATATATATATATATATATATATATATATATATATATATATATATATATATATATATATATGACACAAAAGCCACTTTACTTGTGATAACCCTTAAGAAGTAGTGTATATGAAAAAGCCAAGACAACTAAACGGGATAAATATGAATTTATGCAACCCAAACAGTGTGTGGAAACAGACGCACACACACACACACACACTCAGATAGTCACTAACCTTCATTATTTGTGTAATCTCAGTTGATACGTAAGCTGTCAATTCTTCTGTTGGCCATTGAGAACACATTAAGACAAGTTCGACTAAATCTTCACCTCTCAGTAGTAAATTCTTCCCCAATGAACCAGTGTGCAGAATACCGATGAGTAGACGTTCGCCTAGTTGTTCTTCACTTTCATCCACTTTAACTACATCATTCTTTGAATCATCTACACTATCACCACCACTAGTACTACTACTGGAGTCAAAGGTTAAACGTACTTGCTTTATTAAATCATCACTAACATCTTTCAGAGCTTGCTTGCAAATATTAACAGCATTCATCATTGCCTGAGGAAGAGGAGAAGAAGAAGCAGAGAGGAAAAAATCACACACACACACAACTAGAATGAGTTATGTACACAGAAATGCGATGATGATTGATTCAAGATTAATTCAAAGGGATTAAACATTGGAATACCCTCTCTGGCACCACCTACTGATTATTTGAAGGAACTCTCCTGCTGAGGTGTATAGACAAAAAGTTGATATAGCTGAGGGGGATGTTGTTTGTAGATTTTATCACGTTGAAACTCAAAAACACATTTATTATTTGTAATTATTGTTCCCTTGGGTTCCTAGTGGAACATAGGGCTTCAACTGCACGTCTCCACTTCCTTCTCTCTTGCTCCTACTGTACTTTTCACCTACATCCATGTTAGTGCATACTCCTCTTTCAACTCCTCTTCACACGATCTCCTCCATGTCATCCTTTGCACTGACGTCCTACTTGCGGCTTCTCTTTCGGCCTGATTCCACTCGAGCAATGGCCTGACGCGCACGCGATGTAACCCAGCGACGGCCTCCTCAGCCACGAGTGTCCAATCCATCTCCAACTTCTTCTGCATATTTGTTGAGCGAGCGACTGGTTCTTGTTTCGTTTGTTCCCAGCCATTGTTCCTTGTTGGTGATTCTTTCCGGCTCAGCCATCTAATCTTCAGTATAGAGCGATAGTTGACAGTTGTTGGTTGATAAAGGTCTCCAACAGGTTGTTCTGGTCCGTTATGAAGAACTGACCTGACGTTTGTATTGAAAATCCTACTGCATTCTGTTATGCTGAGTGACGAAGATTTCCAGATTGGCTTCAGGTTGATCAATGTGTTTCTCGCCTTCGCAAAAAACAGATACTCAAAGAAAATGATAAATACACCTTTAGGCAATCTGGATTTTTTTTCAACGGCTGCCACCCTGTAATCCAATTCATGTAGGAGAAGGGATCTGATTAAAAAATATCTTTTCTGGGTATTCCACTAACAAGACATTAAAAGTTGGAACACTAAAAAGACTTATTCTCACAAAAAGGGACAACTCACAAACTCTCACAGTTGGGCTCCTTTATATGCAAAGTGAAACCTGAACCAAACAAAATCTACAACATTGGCAACGTCGACACTATATGGAATAATCTCGTTGACTTGGAATATGCAGACGATATAGTCCTTCTAGGCGAAGACGCTGACGAAATGCAGAGTCTTCTAAACACCTTGAGCCGCAATCTACGAATGTTTGGCATGCGATTCGCTCCCGCCAAATGCAAGATGATGTTACAGGACTGGACTACATCGACGCCTAGTTTAAAAATAGGAAGTGAAGTGGTAGAGCACGTTGACCGCTTCACTTATTTGGGAAGTACCATCAGCCCCAACGGGCTGATCTCTGACGAAATCTCAGCACGAATACAAGGGGCTCGTTTCGCATTTGTTAGTTTACGCCGACTCTGGCGTAGACGAGATGTTCGACTATCGACCAAAGGGCGGGTGTACTGCTCATCAGTCCGCTCCGTCCTCCTTTATGGTTGTGAGACCTGGCCACTGAGAGTGGAAGACATGAAAAGACTAGCTGTCTTTGATCATAGGTGCCTGCGTTCTATTTCCCGTGTAAAGTGGCATAATAAGGTGAGCAACATGGAGGTTAGGCGTAGAGTTCTAGGTAAACAGGGGAAATCAATCGACGACGTCGTGAAGCTACAAAGACTGAGATGGTTAGGACATGGTGTTACGTATACCAAGCCATCGCCTCCCTCGACGAGCAATGTTAGCGGATATAGGGTCAGGCTGGAAAAAAGCTAGCGGCGGTCAAACAAAAACTTGGCATCAGTCAATGAAATCCACAACAGTTGGTCTAAGCCACGTAGAAAGGTGTAGACTTCCAGGCTGGGGTCCTCGGGACGGTAAAAATCTATGGTTGGAAACAATTGGTGACATGGCTCAAAACCGTTCTCAGTGGCGCAGATGCATCCACTCCCTGTGACTTATGATCTTCAATGAAACTGTTTTGTATTTCTTTATTACTCCTTTGTCTCACACCTCTGCTCACTGTTTCTATTATGCTTTTCTTGTACTTTCTTCTCTTGCTTCGCGTGCTACACGGAATGTGGCGACTTGAACTTCCGCACATTTGTGCAAAGTTCTATGTCGAAAACAGACAGACAGACGGAGCCACTGAATACTCCTAATGCGATTCTTGCAAAACATGACTTGCCCCAAACATTTCATCATCACAAAATCTGTGAAGCCTACAACACCACTACTAAGAGCACACACAGTTTCTACCCCACCCACCCCATAAAGGAAGAAAGCCTTCTTGGCAGCTGAACTGTTTTTCTGAACGCTTTTCGCTCTATACAATTCCTTATCAGTAAAACCAAAAAAGCAAGCTCATATTTAAATGTCACCACCATCCTTCCATCCATTCAAACCATAATGGGGGAAAAATCGACATACCTGAGTTTCCACAGGTGTTGGCATCAAAGAAGCATGCTTGGAATAAATATATCTATTTTCCATAGATTTATTAGGCGTCTCTGAACCGTACATTCTACCAGGTAAACGATCATATGGTAATAAGGCAGCACTGCCAACCCCCATATATCCACTGTTGCGTAAGGTATTGGAAGCGGGAAAACCGTTGGTGTTCGACTTCTGAAATTGATTAAAAATAGATATATAGGGTTTTGCTTTTGTTTTTTTAGTCAGTCATCTTGTCGTATTGGAAAATAATAAAGACAAATTTACTGTATACACACACACACACACAACGGGAATGAAGTAAGGTTATTAACAATAACAAAAATTGGCAAGAATCTAATTACTCGACGGCTGGTGTCGTTAAAGCAACGCAAGTTAGTGTGATGAAGATTAACACGAGGCGCCCAAAATTAAAATCGATACTTTAAGTCAATTCCATTGATAGTGTGACTGATGTTGGTTATCTTTTCAACGTCTCCGTCTACAACATATTCACTTGAAATTCCGTTTTTGCTGCATGCTTCTCCTGCTAGTTTGCATGAAATTCGGCTCTGCTGAGGTAGAACTGTTTATTCCTCAAAATCTGGATTTAATGTTTATAATGTTGACATGAAAATGACCTCATTGGACAACTTTTGTTCAACCACTTTGTGCTAATCGTCAACCAATAATCACAACCACCATCTATTGTCTTCCAACCAAGCCGAAGTTTAATATGTGACTAAGAACGTGATGTGTTTTTATTTAATAAAGCTTCGTTACACATGTAGTGAAAACACGTACATAAAGTATAGGTAAGGCGTAGACTGACTCCAGGTAAAGTAAACAAAAATTTTTGTAAAACTTTATTAATTAAAATGATTACGACGCGCTCTCTCTTTACGAGCTACGACACGTTAGCGGAGAGAGGATTAACCAAAATGGAAACAATTTAGTACGTTTAAGTTCGTGCATACGCTGTAGACTCTAAACTGATGACGATTATGAGGAATCCAGGTGAAGTGGATGAAGTCTAATCACAGTACGGAAGATATATATATATATATATATATATAGATAGATAGATGGATAGATAAATATATATATATATATATATATATATATATATATATATAGATAAATATTGACCGCAGTTCATTTGGAGAGAAAGAATAATAACTAGGAAATTGGATTAGTGTTTTTGTTTCGATATAGAAGATCACTGGGACTGAATGAATCTGCGCCACCAAGAACTTTAAGCCACAACACAAATAGATTCTTAGGCGCCTCCAAGACCCCCCTCCATAATCAAATAGTCTGTTCTCCCCAAATGTGGTTCAAACCGTCAAAGACTCCACGGAACATCGCGAAATAAAATACTACACAGTATTGCCGGGACGTTGACTAGAAAAATCATTGTTCATACATTATATAAACAACTAAATAAGCTTTACTATTATGTCTAAGTAATACTTAGTCTAGTTATATGGGTTATAAAAGCCATTTAAAGGTTAACTTTCATGTTCAATGATTGGAGGCAATAGACAGGACGTACAGGACCTAGGCTCCGTGCTTGATGACGAGTGACAATATGAGGCAGGAAACGCACGTGTCCATATAAGGCATCCTGCCAACTGCTTCAATCATCATCTAACATCACAATTCAGTTATGCATCTGCATATTCCAAGTCAACGAGATTATTCCCCGGTGTAGCAAGTCAATCCCTGAGTCGCTGAAGTCACCTAGGGTTAAGTCCATTAACACATCTATGATGAAGTTGAATAGAAAAGGAGATAATGGGCATCCTTGACGGACACCACTGGTCGTCATCAGTTCAGATGACAGCTCGCCGTAAGCCCTCACCTGGCTGTATGAGTACGAGTAGAGTGCCTTAATCAGTGCAATATATTTTCTTGGAATTCCCTTTACAGCCAAGCATCTCCAGAGAACTTCCCGATCGACAGAGTCGAATGCTGCCTTTAGGTCAAGAAATATAATGACTGTTGGACGCCGGTAGGAATGCCTATGTTCTAGAATCTGTCGGAGGGTGAAGATATGATCAATACACCCTCTTCCTGGTCTAAAGCCTGCCTGGCTCTCTCGTGTTTGTGCTTCCCGAGCACCACTCAGTCTACGCATGATTATTGAGCCTAAGACTTTAGATACTATATTAGTCAAGCTAATCCCTCTGTGATTATCACAGGAAGACTTGTCTCCCTTCTTGTATATGGGGATAATCAGTGACTTACACCAACCCGATGGGACTTCTTCTGATTCCCAGACGCTGCCTAGTACCTCAGTTAATCCGGACAGTAAGCTGTCTCCACCGTACTTAAATACCTCTGGCGTCATTCCATCAGGTCCCGCTGCTTTGCCTAGTTTCAGATTGGTGACAGCTTTAGTAACCTCAGTTAGTGACGGAGGACCTGTGTTTATATCCCATTCAGGGAGGTGTTGGATGCTCGGAAGGTTGAGCGTGGCTGTGGGCAAATTAAACTGCTCCTCATAATGCTCTTTCCAACGATCCAGTCGTCTATCCTGTGAGCTAATTATAGTGCCATTTTTTTCCGAGATTGTCTCACTGATGATTTGTCTTCTCCCACCCGTTTCCCTGATGAGTCCAAAGAGTTGCCTGGTGTTGCCTATCCTCGAAGCTTTCTCCATCTCTTTGGCTTTTGTCGCCCACCACTGTTCACGGTCCTTGCGGAGACTTTTCGTAAGTTTCCTCTTGTGCAGCTTTCGCTCCTCATTGAATTCGGAGCTCGCCGGAATAAGTCTTCTAGCATCTATCAGTTCGGATGAGGCGGTGGAGATCCAGTGGTTTTTACTCACCTTTGGGTTTACCTTATTCACAGCTTTTACAGCTGTATCTATGGCTGCCTGGATATTTTTCCAAGCTTCTTCAGGGTGAGCACAGCTGTCGAACACAGATATGTGTTTAGCTAGTTCTTCCTGAAATACGGATTTAGTTTCCTGATCGAGCTGGGGACGTGATGGTTTTACCGCCAGCTGTTTCCTACGTCCGTTCAGTCGTAAGCACACCCGAGCGCGGACCAGTGCATGGTCGGTATCTACGCACGTGTTCCAGAAGGAGCGACAATCTCCTACCGACCCACGCCAACGATAGCTTATTGCTATGTGGTCTATTTGTGTCCAGCGTTGGTTTGATGAAGGGGGTCTCCAAGTCAAACAGTGTCTCTCCTTGTGTTTAAAGTTAGTGCTTACAAGAAACAAATGATTATCAGAGCAGAACTGTAGGAGACGGTCACCGTTGTCGGTTCGCTGGCACGGAGCTCCATAGGTGCCACCGACATCCTTCTCAGATTGACACAATTTCCCTACTTGAGCGTTAAAGTCACCAGCTAGAACGACTATGTCTGAGCGTTTAGCCTTTCCACCAAACTAGACAGCTTTTGGTAGAACTCATCCTTCGTTTCATCTGAACTGCAGTCAGTGGGGGCGTAGGCGGAGATTACGAAAAGGCATCGGCGAGTAGTGCAGTCCTTCCTCCTTCTTACTGATCCGTTCAGGCGGACAGCACACATTCGGCTATCTACCGGGATCCAGTCAAGCAATGTCTTTTCTGCCCTAGTACTCAAAGCTATCCCTACGCCAGCTAATCCTCGTGAACTAGCTGTGGCATCTCCTGACACCCTCAAGGTGAATTTTGCAGATTCAACCTGTTGGCCAGGTGGGGTTAGGTGAATAACCACACTTGGGTCTTGTATGCGTGTTTCTGAAACACAGCATACATCAATGGCTCGTGATGCCAGGGTCTTGGCTAGTGATGCTTGTTGTCCTATTTGGCAAAGTGTCCTAACATTAAGAGCTCCTATATGAAATTGGTGGCGCGGCTTTAAGAGGCTGTCGGTGGTGGTTTTTTGGCTTCCATCGTTTTTAGTGGACGCAGAGTGGAGAGGAAGTGGAGAGCTATCAAGTCGAGGAGTTGCATCAGTGGAAGGAAGGCAAGATGATAGAGATGAAGATGAAGACAAAGATGAGTGAGTAATAGAGAGGTTTCGTGTGCATTTCGGATTGTGAGGGCGATTGTTACTTCCCGGCTGCCCACACCGTGGAAGTTGGTTGCGTGACCGCAGAGCCCAGGGGACAACTGCTTGAGGCCGGTCACACGCGGCCTGTTTTTGTTTGTTCTCTTTTGTTTGGTGTGTCTCAGTAGCAGATTTATCACTCCCGCCCTGTGACACGGCAGCAGGAAGCGCGGTCGTTGTTAATCCGGGCCACGGCCGATCCGGCATGAAATTTTGTGATTTTGTATTGGACATGATGTTGGATTGGGTAGCTGCTTTTTGTTTAACCGCTATCCAAACAACCTGCCTGGCATGGTAGAACCTCAAGAGACATAAGTCTCAGCCAGTATAGCTTGATTAGGTCATTGCGGTGTTCAAGCCCGACCACCACGTCAAGGTAGCAGCTTTCTCACTACTATCACCAAATATTTATTTGCAAGGATGTGATAGTATTTTGTTCAGACACTAACTAGTGTGATGCGTTTAGTCTTTTGTTTGGCGTTGGCTGAATTCCATCAGTCGAGTTTGCAATATATATGGCCACTATTTTAGATGGCTTGCCATCATCACGGTGCACTATTCAGAATTGTGGTTGAAGGTAATCGCCAGGATACCCTGCCTTTGAACCTAGGTTTCGTAATTGTTAGCACTCATCAGTCGGCTTGGCGTATTTGGAGTCTTGGAGGAAGTCATGTCCCCCGTCAGAGATTTGAATCCATGTGTCACCCGAGGCTGTCGTCAGAGACATTACCACTTAGCTTTTCGGGCTCGTGACTGACTTCCTGTATTGGACACTTAGATTGGAGATCAGCTAGTGTCATCAGACTAGTCCTTGTTGTTGGTGGTGCAGAGTGAATTCCTATCAGTCGAGTAATCGTCATAATGCAGATAGAACTGTATGAATGAAACAAAATTTATGATAATCAAAAGAGAAGGATCACACCACTTACTGAATCAGAGCGTCTATTTCTTTTATCCTTTCCAGTGGATGATTTACGGAAAAGTTGATTTCCAGAGTTTGGATCAACAACGAATGATGGATCGACTTTCGTTTTGTATTGATTACGATGACGTCGACCACGTAGATGGCAGTCGCGAGTGTCAATACTTGAAAACTCACACTCGCATAATTTACAACGATACATAACACTTTTACCATTTAAACTGACCTCCTGCAATAAATTTTTTAAAAAAAAGGTAGTATGCTATAAAATCAATGCTTGGAGTAAAATTATTATCGTGCTTTTGAAATGAAGACAAGGCTGTTTACTATCAAATGACAATAATCTTGATTATCGTTGACTAAATCATCATGGAATAAATCGTGAGAAGCGAGAAGACAGGAATAAGTTGAATTGACATGAAGACTCCTAGAATAACTGTCTTCGATAAATGCACTCATGTTTAATGTCGCATAAACTGGAAGATGTACAGATGAAAACTGACAAGTTGACAGGACGTTGTAGGCAGGAGACGGGAATTCAGGTTGCGTCACCATAGTCACTTCCAAGGAGAAGTAACAGAGAGCTTTAGCAACAGAACAATAACGAACCTATCATCCAACAAATATGCAGAAAGTAAATGGAAATGGATTGCACACGGGCTGAGAAGACCGTTGAGTGGGAAACGACGAGTTTGACTTCCGAGGGTGATATGCAGATGATGGCTTATGGGCAAACGTGACACCAGCTAAAGAGGATTGAGGGGAAGAGGATAAAATGGATATGTGCTGTTGAAGCGCTATATTTTACTCGACACCTACAGGGATAATAAGCATTATCACTGAGCATTTGTTTTTATTTTAAACATACTTTATTCAGGCGAAAAGTAATTAGAGTGAACAACGGTTTTTAATCATAAAAAAGCGCCAGTAAAGGCAAATGAGAATTGTATCAGAAAGTGTATTGCTTAGTACAAGTACACGATGGAATTAATAGTCAGTTTTGACATACACTTTACAGTGCATACTTTTATAAAGAGTGGTAAAATGATCACAGCAAATGGGAAGGTAGTAAATAATGAATAATACAAAAGGGAATGATTATAGGAAAGTGGACACTTACTGCTTCTATATACTCTTGACCGACAAGTGGAATTTCAGAGCCCACAAGTTGTTTTATGTCGACATGCTTCATTAGTTTGTTTGGCGCTGTCGGATCAGGTGCTTCATTTTCGCTTGTTTCACCTTTAATTTTAAAAAACAACAGGAACTTGCGAAACTGAGACCAAAAACCAAACACACACACGCATACACACACAAGGAATGAGATTGTGATACATTTCATTTACTGGTAAGAAGGGACTTACAATTTCTACAGTTAACGCAGCGATAATATGCGTAGCAACAGCTACTGACTACAAAAAAACTGTATATGTTCCGTAGGAAACTGAATTCAGGAAAAATAAAGCGTTGTTTCAAAAGTTGCCTTCCCCCTCCCCCTTAAAGCGACCACCTTGTACGATGGGTAGGTAGGCTTCCTTTGGAGAAATGCTCTCAAGTGGTCACGCCTTCATAGCAACTGCCAGCCAGAGAATACGAACGTCTGACACTTACAACCAGATTGATGGACATGCAAGTCTACCCCTAGCTAGGAGAGGAGCTGAAAAACCTTGAGATTTCAAACCTACGTTGATGTGGAGCTCCAAAGTCCGAAATGATCATACAATGGTCTATGAACCTGTTTTGGTCACCTTCAACAATGAGAAGATGAGATTTCAAGTCAAAGGTTCAAGGGGTGGCTGCTTCTTAAGACAAAACCGCCTACTTCGGTATGCGCAGTAACCTAGCCCTTGTACACAAGCTATGAGATACTGCTGTATGGCACACACATCTTTTTTGGTGCCTGCCTATAACGCACCAAGTTTGAATCGTAATATATAATAATTTATTCATACTTGTAATTTTCATTAAATGTATATATATATATATATTTCTGAACCTGAATTGATCTGTTTTGTTACAGTTGAAGAGAGCTATAAAGACTCAACGGACGAAACACACCTCGTGGATGCGACCACCACGAACAATAACACAATTACAATAACAACCGAGTAGCTTTAGTGACAGACACTAAATTGTTTGCATGTTACAGTGAAACCTTTGATTTGTTAGGGGCAAAAATGAAAAATCTCAAGAATGTCGATGATGAAAGATTGCTGTGTCTGTGTGTGCGTGTCTAATAACGCTGCAGTGCTTGTGCTAACTAACACACAGGGATTCATGAAAAAAGCGTCAACTATTGGATTAGTAGGACAAGCACACTGTGAAGCGTTTCACTGAAACAAATAGATATCTTTATCATTATCACAAGTATTTGGTAGTAACACAAGTAACAAACTTTTTTGTGAAATGATGACAGCACACAAAAATTTTTTTTCAAATATGGGAAAGATTTTACTTACTAGTTTTCACCTCCTCAGCTGCAGCAGCATCAGAGGCAAGTTTATCTGCTACAGCGGCTGGTACAAGTGGATTATCAGTTTCTGGGACAGGTTTTCCCAGTTGTTTGTGTACCTTCAGTGTACGCTGGTGTTGTTTACCAGATATATGAGCTGTGTAAGAGTCGACACCAGTACAAGCAACTTCACAAAGTTCACAACGCAGTAGAAATTCAGGTGTAACAACCAACGACGAATCGTCATCAGTACACATTTTTTTCTTCAATTCGTTGACGGCTTCAGCCTAATGAATAAAAAAAATCGAAAAGTACGTTAATAAATAGGCTATAGTATACCGCACATCTCTACCACTATAGGTTATGATCTCAAAGATTAAATTCGAAATGCAATAAATAATGATAGAACCGATACAATGTTATCATCAGTCAGTTTTTCTGGGAAACTAAATTATTTCTTAAGTTAAGAATCGACATGGGGTCAGTTGGTGTATGCCTCGTAGGACTCTTGATGTCCAGCTTTAAAGTCGTTGAATCATTTTTCAAAGTATAATCAACATTATTGTTCCCTTGGGTGTTCCAAGTCGAACATAAGACTTCAACAGCGCACCTCCACTTTGTCGTATTCTCTGCGGTACTCCTTAGCCGGCCCCAAGATTGCCCATTGTCTCACTCCCCATCTCACACAATCTCCTCTATGTCAACCTCAGACTACCCGCTCGTTGTTTCCTATTTAGGTTCCCCTAGAGGATATGGAGCACGATGTCACTCGTCGTCGGTCTTTTCAGTCTACGTTCGATCCATCTCCATTTTCTTAGGACTTTGATGGACAATAGGATTTTGGTTGGTTGGTTCGTTAGTTCCCAGAGTTTATTGTTCCTAATTCTTTCTGGCCATTTGAACTTCAATATGGAGCCAGCAAACCTTAGCCTACCACATAGACTGACTGACCAACTAAGATACGATCACTTTTATTTTATATAACTGAGTGATGGTGTCAAACATATTTTATTATTATTGTAAAACATACTAGTTGTAAAGCGATCCTAAAGAAACTAAGAAATGTGATGTAGTCTCAGGATATTTGTCTTCCTAGTGCCTTAATTTAAATTTAGCAAAGACACCTGCCAATCTAGAGCGTTAAAGTTGGAACATCTCTGGAGGAACAGCTGACACATTTTTGAAGAACATTTTTTTGAGGAGCTGTCCAACTGTAACCCTAGAACGCGGTGTAAACACTAATCCCTTAACAATTCTACAAGAAATGGTGAAATTCGTGTCCAGTCTGAACGAAGTTAAGGATCTGACGTTTCGAGGATGACTGTGTAACTGCTCAAGAATAGTAGCTATGGATTGTCGACTAGATATACCACTAAGGTGGTAGTAAATGCATGAGAATCCGGAATAATTGTCATACGGATGGTCAACCGTTGATTATCCCAGCCCATAAGGCGGGAGGGGTCTTTCTTTTCTGTAATGAATTGCAACAGTGAAAATGTGGTTTATAATTGGCTTTGGAACTTGACTATTCCGCCTACTTTTACTTGAACAGTTGAGTAATATTATCCTTTGTAACATAACAAGTGTTGCTCACAGTATAATAAAAACTACGTTCAGTGCAAACGGGTTTCAATGTGAGATACCTTAGTACAGGGGTGCAGTTATCCAAAACCACCTTAGGTGGTTTGAAATAAGGAACAAGCGAGAATCCAGGCAATATGTCTGTGCTCCAAAAACGAGGCTGGTCAAAAGATTTTGGAACACAGAAATATAACAGTGCTCATCACTGATGTATATCTATATCTACAGTTGGTGGATGGTGGCTAGCAGTGGAATCCAGGATGCGCATTTCGTCCTATTTGGGACTCGTCATCTGGATGTACCTGCATTTCTCAGTGAGTGATGATGTTCCCACCGAGGCTCGAACCCAGTACCCATAGTTTCAAACGCCAAAGCGTTATCCACTAGACCACTTGGGCCACGAGAGCCACCTCTTGTGCAACGGGTCATATTAATTATTGAATTGAATTTTGATTTTCCCGTCGATTGATTGGACCGAAATGCGCATCCTGGATTCCACTGCTAGCCACCATCCACCAACTGTATACTAACTAAATACCCAGACATCGTCGAAGCATCTGCACAAGAAGCCGACATGTCAACCTGAGACCGAGCACTTCGGTCCAATCAATCGACGGGAAAATCAAAAATTCAATTCAATATATCTATATCTCTTGACCTGAAGACGATGTCGTCCAACCTTGTCCACAATAAGTAAGATGATAATTCAGGAATGGTTTGCACCAAATTTCTAGTTTAATAGGAAGTGCGAAATAGTTGTGTGTTCTAACCACTTCACTTATTCCGAAGTTACATCAATCCAATGACCAAAACTCAGTACAGATACAAGAAGCTTTTTTTTAAAACATTTGCCAACTTGCAACTTCGAGACTTCGGCGAGATATCTGGCACCCCACCACATGCATGCGTGCATATCAGTCAACTGGTATATCTTCTATGTATAATTACAATGTGAAAACTTCTAATACACACACACACACACACACACACAAACACGAATATAATGTACAAGAGAATGAGAGCAATCGAATTCAATCAAACAAGCAGTTTTTTTCAGTGTACCTACCATTAACACTCGTCTCTTGTGGCGGTGACCATCTTCATGTTCTTTGTAGGAACTTGTACTTGCACAAGTGACTTTGCAAAATTCACAATAGAAAACTGTTGCTTCCTTTGTCACACCAGGTGGGTGGCTTGGACGAATACGAGTAGCTAGAAAGAAAAAGTTATAACATACAGCATTCAGTGTAACTAACCTAAAAATGTATTATTATTATTATCCTATTATAAGTTTATAACACACGGTGGGTAAATATAAAACTACACTATTATTATTATATACTTTAATTCCTAGATAAACATAGGGCTTCAGCTGCGCGTCTCCATTGCCTTTTGTTTTCTGCCAACTTTTTCACTCCGCTCCAAGTCTGACCACATGCTTTCATCATCTCCTCCTCTCATGACTTCTTCCAAGTCACCCTTGCACTGACGACCAGCTCGCCACTTCCCTTTCGCCCGGTTCCACTCGAGAAATGGCTTGTCTAGTGATGTCACTTGATGGTTTCCTCAGACTATGGCCAATCCATCTCCATTTCTTTCTGCCTATTTGTTTCGCAATCGGTTCCTGGTTGGTTCGCTCCCAGAGATCTTTGTTGCTGATCTTTTCTGGCCATCTGATCTTGAGTATTGATCGAAGACAACTGTTAATGAAGGTCTGAAGTTTGTTGGAGATGGATACAGATGTACCATCTGTATAATGGTGCAGTAAGTAATTAGATTTTCTAAGCAGAAAATAAATTCGTCTATTATATATTTTTAGTACGAAACCACCGTTCGTTAGGTGTCGGTGACACAGCGGTCCGGGGTCCGGGTCCCTCGCCTATGCACTCCTTTACCTCGCTAAGCCAGTAACAAGACTGGTAAGGAGGCAAGATTGGACATGAGGCTGGCTAGCAACCCTATCCCGTGAAAATAAAAACGTCACTGCTACAGAAACTTTAAACTTCTAGCTCGAAGCCCATATGTTCCGCTAAGAATGCGAAGGAATGAAAAACAAAAAGAAACTAAGCTACATAACACTGGAAACACTAGTCATCTTAATCGTGAACATACATTAGGTGAAATATATTCAGTCAACCTGTCTCAAGGAAAACACCAGCCTAGAGCTAAGGGGATTTTTACACCAGAATAACTGTTCAACTGGCATTATACAAAATTTAAAACCTTACCTTCTTTTTTTCCTTTAAACTGGCCGAATGGTTTAGGACGTCCACGGTTTGGGAATGTAGTATTTTCAGAATTCCTTTGATAACGAACTGGGGGTCCTGTGTATACTGATTGGGGTGTAGGATTCGGTTGTGAAGGATGGTTGTAGACATCAGAATGAAAGCTGTTGGCTGAAGAATTCATAGACATCCAATTAGATGCTTCTGCAGGAACACGAAAGGCATACTGGTTTTGATAGTCAACGGGCATATTAGTGTTTTCGGAAACACCAGAGGGTGGTAGGCGCTGTTGTTCTGAATAATTAACACACGTTTCGTCAGCAGAAGGCATCATACCAGGTCTAGCATAATAGTGAGGATTTGAACTAACTGAATAACCACCATCACTTCGATAGGGAGGTGGTATCGATTGGAAGTCCACTGGAGGAACCTCAAAACCAAAAGGTCTAGGTCCAGATCTTGGAGCAACATTTCCTGAATTTGGAAAAATTGAAAAGTGTAGAATAATTACAAAAAGTGCAGTGTTTACCACAGTGCACGTAACTTGATTTTTTTGATTTTCGATTTACAGTTTGATTCCACAAACAGTATTTTTGGTACTAGTATGGAATCTTCAGCATGGATATCGGTAGCCCGAATTTTGCAGGTCGACCATAGATATCAGGTGTGCGCCGGCTGGGGGTCGAACCTCGGACCATGTGCATGGTCGGCGAGAGTCCTAACCACTGTGCCACCGGCACACTCCTTTCACTTAGAAAAAGCCAACAGTTTGCCAACAACTATTACAGCAATAAGCTTAACATTCTAAAGATTTTACGGTGTATAACACCTTTCAAAACTTTTCATAGGCAGAATATTTTTTGGGAACCATAGAGGGGGTACACTTGCACGTCTGGAAACGTATATGGCAGCTTGATTGATACAAGGCCAAAACAAAAACAGTCCTACGATATTCGTCACCACAAGCGATCAGTTTATGCAGTTCATACTAAACTCTATCAAATCTGCAGACTATCAGACTATGATTCCGGTGTGAATATCAAAGTCATCGACGGGCATTGCTAGCTAATATAGGTGCAGGTTGGAAAAGAGCCAGTGGTGGTCAAACAAAAACATGTCATCAATCCATGAAATCCTTGACAGTTAAACTGAGTCAGGTAGGGAGATGCAGACTTCCGGGTTGGGGCTTTCGGGACTGACTCTAGGAATCAATGGCTGGAGACAATAGGTGACATGGCTCAAAATCGTTGTCAATGGCCAGCGCAGATGTATTCAGTCTCTGTAATCTTTCATATTCCTTTCTACCATTACCCATTCTGTTTCGCTCTTATACTTGTCAGACTCTATTGATTCTCTTCACTCATCTTCATCTTCTTGTCTACCTCTGTATGCTATTTGGAACGTGGCAACTCGAACTGCTGCACTTCGGTGCCAAGTTCTATGTTGAATCCAGACAGACAGATCAAAGGCATCTCTATAGCTGTAATTTGATCAGAATTACACTGGAAAGGTAAGCGAATCCAGAAGAGTAGTACCCCGTGGAATTATTAGACGACTTGTCTACACTGAACAAAAAATATTCTAACCACAGTCAGAATCACATCCTACCTCATTAGTCTGGATTAAAAGAAGTGAGACAGTAAATTTCTGTGATAAAATCAGTGTTATTACCGCATTATTCGCTTATGACGTTTCAAGCTCAGTTTATTGCTGATAATCACATCAGCGTACCCACAACTTTCCGACTTCATTTATCGACATGAGCGACAAATTGGTTAAATTCAATAAACAAGGTTTAACACGAAGTTCAATAAACATACATGAAGTAGGTGATAGGAAGAAAAAGTACATTCGAAAATGTGAGTGCGATACGATGGTAAATAAGACGAGTATTTACAGTAAAATAAAACATAAAATATTAGTGTGATAACTTAAAATAAAACAGAAAAAAGGAAAATTATTTCTTATCCTTCAATTTGATCGGTAGTAATATTTTTCATATCTCGTATTAGTGATGAGTCATTCCTATTTCATGTGTTGGGTGTAGATTCAATGAACAAAGATTCAGTGGTCAGCCTTTCTCCACCTACCCACATTACTTTTTTGGAATTGTAACTCTGCCCCCCTCCTATTGTGTGCGTACACCTACACAATCGTGACTAAAGTAGTGATATGTTGAGCTCCACCTATTTTTTAATAAGACAGAGTGCATTCCAGTTGGTCTACTACGACTCCACTAGACCAAGGTGTACTATCTGTTAAGAGTTATGAAAGCTTTCCAAGTGTCATTTTCTTCACACATATACACTTAATAGTAGAAGGAATAAATTCACATTTGAATCAGAAAATGAACAAGGAGAATTAGCTGTTGGGTTATAAATCGAAACGAATAAAACGTAAGCATGTATAAGAAGCCAACATATTCTAATAGATATTCAAACTTTAATTCAACGTATCCGTTACCTGTGAAGGCAGGCTTAGGTAAGTGTTTAGCAAACCAAGCAATAACAACACTAAGTCGTACATCAAAAGACCGAAATGATGAAATGAAACAGATAAAAGCGCTGAGGCTAAATATAACTATCCCATGAAATTGATCATGATTACAAAAGCTCACGCAAAAAAGAATAGTGAAACTGGTGACGATAACATTACTATATAAGGAAGCGACACGTGAAACCTTTTGTGGGATCCTTAGTACAGCGGGAATCAGGGTGACACTTAAACCTACCAAAGACAAGCTCTACAGGCTAAAGGACCCAAATGATCCAATTACATATATAAATGTAATTTACACAATAATTGTAAGGTCAACTACGCAGGTGGAACCAGTAGATTGGGAGTAGTCAGATTATCGGACCATAAGAATTCACCTAAATGTATAATGACTGATCCCACGAAGATTAGAGATCTAGAAAAATAAAAACTTAGCAAATTTAATGCATGTATTGACACACAAGCACACAATAGGATGGGGCAGAGTTAGTTCTAAAAAGTAATATAGGTAGGTGGAGAGAGGCTGACCACTGAATCTTTATTCATTATTCAATCTACACCTAACACATGAAATAGCAATGACTCATCATCAATTAAACTCTGCCACATTGTCTAAATTCTTTCATAAATGAATTAAACATTCAAAGCTAAACTGAAGGCTTAAATCAAATTAATGACAACGCGTATCAAAACTAATGGACTTACCGAATGACGTATTCATATCTTGACAATAAAATGCTGAGGATGGCGTAATACCATATTGATGGCCGAATTGATTCATAATAAACTAAAATGAAAAGAAAATCAGTAAGCGAAATGGAAATACAAGTAAGAAACGTAACACATTTTTAGTCAATATGGAAAGTTTGGATATAAAGCGTTGACAAACACTACCTGTGCATAAGTGCTTATACATCATCACAGTAGAGATATTTATGAGGCCATTTTGCAGCAGCCAACTACCACTTTAATTCAATTTAGAAATGGAGTAACTAGTCTACTTTGAATTACTTACAATCATATTTCAGTAGTTAACACAATGATAAGTTTTTTTTGTTTTGATAAGGCTCATACCACAACATGGAATAAATCCGCCAAGCCACTGACTTGGTTCAGGCTACGCAGGGTTGTGTAGATTATCGGAGTGAGGTGCGTGGGACATGAAGAGGCAATGGTAGGTTTTCTCGAGCAGGAAAATTCACGTTTCTAGAGCAAAGGTCAACTTAAATGGCTCTACAGTGGTCAAACTAATAGATAAGGAGGCTAGCGGAGGTATTCAATCTCACAGTTTGGTGTAATATTTGTGTATTCTACCAAACGCACGTTTGACACTATAACCTGTTGGCCTGAATGAATGAGAACCTCTCGGCAATCGATCCTGTCGACCGAGAGGTTCTCTGGCGATGCTTGGCTGTAAAGGGAATGCCGAGAAAATACATTGCTCTGATTAAGGCAATCTACTCGTACTCATACAGCCAGGTGAGGGCTTACAGCGAGTTGTCATCTGAAATGGTGACGACTAGTGGTGTCCGTCAAGGATGCCCATTATCCCCATTTCTATTCAACTTCATCATGGATGTACTAATGGACTTAACGCTAAGTGACTTCAGCGACTCAGGGATTGACTTGCTACCACCGGGAAATAATCTTGTTGACTTAGAATATGCAGACGATATAGTCCTACTAGGCGGGGACGCTGACAAAATGAAGCAGAGTCTTCTAAACACCTTGAGCTGCAATCTACGAATGTTTGACATGAGATTCGCTCCCGTCAAATGTAAGATGATGTTACAGGACTGGACTACAATGACTCCTAGCTTAGAAATAGGGAGTGAAGCGGTAGAGCACGTTGACCGCTTCACTTATTTGGGAAGTACCATCAGCCAGTGCTAACGGGTTGATCTCTGACGAAATCTCACCACGGATATAGAGGCCTCGCTTCGCACTCGCCAGTTTACGCCGTCTCTGGCGTAGACGTGATATCCGACTATCGACCAAACCACGGATGTACTGCTCATCAGTTCACTCCGTCCTCCTTTATGGCTGTGAGTGAGACCTGACCATTGAGAGTGGAAGACATGAAAAGACTAGCTAGCTGTCTTTGATCATAGGTGCCTGCGTTCTATCTCCCATGTTTGTTAAGTGGTATAATAAGTTGAGCAATATTGAGGTTAGGATTCGGTCGAGTTCTAGGTAAACAAGGGAAATCAATCGATGAGGTTGTGAAATTACATCGACCGAGATGGTTAGGACATGTGTTACGTATGCCTAGTCATCGCCTTCCTCGACCGACGGGCAATGTTAGTTGATATAGGGTCAGGCTGGGAAAGAGCTAGCGGAGGTCAAACAAAAACATGTCACCAGTCAATGAAATGCACAACAGTTAGTTTAAGCCACGTAGGGAGGTGTAGACTTCCTGGTTGGAGTCATCGGGACGGTAAACATCAATGGTTGGAAACAATTGGTGACATGGCTCAAAATCGTTCTCAGTGATGGATACCGCAGATGCATCCACTCCTTGTAACTGATAATATTCAATAAAACTACATTGTTCTTCGTTACTACTATTCCTTTGTCTCACACATCTTTTCACTGTCTCTATTATGCATTTCGTCTACTTTCTTTTGTTGCTTTGTGTGCTACATGGAGTGTGGCGACTTGAACTGGTGCACATTTGTGCGAAGTTCTATGTAGAAAACACAGACTGGATGATTCGACGTTATTTAGAAGCATTAGTGTTCAATAATTATATTTTTTTTATAGACAGCTGTAGGATCTGAAGTTAATGAAAAGAATATTCACCGTCCCTAGTCAGTATGTTGTGGTTCCACAACTTTCCTGTCAATGGGTTATATTATTTAAAACACATTGTACGTTGTGGGCAAGTCATCGAGAACTTTGCTGGTGTAGTGACTTGAACTGATGTATTTCAGTGCAAAATTTCAATCCAGACTATGTCAAGTTCAGAATATGACATTGTTAACAGAACTTGAAGCAGAATAACCAGCTGCATTTTAGTTGTAAGATAAGGTTAAATTTACACAAAACTGGTCGTTGGACAGCCATATTAAGCGTTACCGTGCAAAAGACAGAACATGCCAACAAAACAAACCGAAATTCTAAATGAAAGTCATAATGCAACGACGATTTTGAGGCGAATAAAAGTGTTACGTCTTAGACATGAAATATTGTTACCATGATTAAACAGCTGTATTAAGACTCAATCAAAGGCGTTTTCAACGGACCCAATGATCAACTAGGTGACAAGGACAAACGCCAAATGGTCCCAGAGCCACATCTTTACCAGCCTAAATAGCTAGATCCCACACGCTCCACATGACATTAGTCTTAAGAACAATACTCAGAAAGCAGTACAGTCGATGCTTGTCGTAGCCGGTATATGGCTATACATCCACGACGGGAAATAAGGAACATGAATCACCTTCAGTCCAGCCCGAGTTCTGAGTTCAAGGACATACCCTAAGCATGGAAATCGGTCACCTTATCGCTAACCACAGGCAAATAATCTGAATTAAGGAGTATTGCTTGTCACGGAGCTGTGAGTAGATAATATAAATCATGAAGCCTGGGTATCCACTAGTATTTCTGAATCAGTTCTTAACTCTGCCCTAAAAAGGCATTTCTCTTAAATATACCGATTTTTAAGTCAGGTTACCATTGCCAATGATTTTGTACAAGTGATCCACTAATCACAATTATGGAGCTCATGAAGAGAACCCAGAACAGAAACCACAACTTCAATTGCAAGAATTCATCTACCGAAGTAACTGCTGTAACTTAACATTACCGTCAATCGTCTGAATTTACCGTATAAATACCAATAAAACTCACACGATCAAAACCTTTCGAACCGCCAAATCAGGTATGGTGTGCTATCCGCCAAGAACTTTATAACAAAGGGCGTTCAATGTCAAATGCAAAACGAAAGAGGATTGGAAGTTTCTTGTTTTCTGAGCTTTATTTCGCTTGTTTCTTGAGCTTGATTTCGCAACTTTTGCGCCATAAACATATTAGTGCATCTGTTTCACGTGTTTAGTGAACAAGTATTTTATGGGGCATTTTAAATCTTTACTCAGCTATGAAGAACATTATCTTTACTTTCAGTCTCTTGCACACCATAGATGATGAACGCAAGCATTTTTTATATAAAGGAAATTTTATGAGGAAAATTTAGAGCGGATCGTATTCAAGCAGGAAGCCCAAATTGGAGCTGAATTTCTGAATATTGCTACAGAAGTCTGTGTTCAGGTGTTATATTACCGTTGCCCGTAGAAGAATATCTTTGTAAAACGAGTACGATTTGTGTTGATTTGTCATCTTTATCTGATTTTGGCAAATATAGCTTCCTTTCGTAGTGCAATAAATATTTATAATTGAAATACATCAAAACTGCAATCCTAATATCCTAACCTACACAATTCTGGAGCTCCCACATATATTTGAGCTATTGTGACTATGCAGTGGGTTGCTATATGTGTTGCCAACGGATCCACCGCTGTTTAAAATCATCCAATACCTTGGATACTGTGAATTTTATTATCTCTAGTAGGACGAATTTAGTGTGTGTTCATGCTAATTGGTTTCAATTACCTGATAACTTGAAACACAGCTTATAAGGTCTGATTTTCAGTCTGGAATGAAGAAAACACTGGTGAAAGAGAAGTTGGAGAAAGAGATATATTTGGCGAACGGCTGAATTACCAAAGCGAAGTAGAGTCTATAAAGAACACTATCACTACCAGGAATTTCAAAATTCGTGAGAGCATCCCTAAGAAATCCGCAGGCCTCACACACAAAGTAGACACTACGGGTAATCAACAACTACTTAAATGCCGCACCCACTCAGAATGGCGCCACAAGGTTTTACAGTGGTGACTGCTGAAAGAACTCCGATTTTCAGTGTCTTTCCCCAAGAGTTCATTTAACTCCCACGCGATAAGCCCAGTAGGCTGTATGACTATCATTTCTCATTTTCTGACGAGCCAAGTTGGTATCCGCGTCATGTGATCTGACTGCAACACACTCTTAGCATACTAGTTGCAATGACTAGTGTTTCAGGGGGTCTGTGTCAAAATGTCGCTATAATGAGCAAGATGGAACAGTTGAAGGATAACGTCATCTACACAAATACTCTACTTTATGTAGAAGCTGTACGTCTCAGGATATCAGTACACCATATTTTTGTGTGAAAAACACTATTATCTGAGAAGTGAATGCTATCAGTATATGGAAGTCACCTGTAAATGTTAACAGAACCTTTTGTGGGAACCTAAGTTATCATATATACGTGTCTTGCACCTTATCTGTGCTTCGAAAAATTCAGATCCAGATTATAAGGGTAGAAGGCTCTTGTTGCCTATGTTAATCCTCGCGATATATATCTCTGCAGAGATCCAGTTTCTCTTTGAAGGCGTTCACCGATGGAGCTGTCAATATCCAGGTCTAACTAGACTGGACTTAACTCTGTCCCTAGAAGACCTTCAGCAACAATGTGCAATAACTAACGCGAAAGAACGGAACACAGATTGGTGACTCGAGAAGCCTTTATTCTTGCACCAATATGGAACCAACCGTAAGGTTATTATACATAAAGTCTAAGAATAAATATCATAACGGTTAATCACAATAGTAATTCTGATAGTATTTTTCCATCTTCTAGCGAACAGAGAACGGTGAATCGACTACTGCAGTATCGGCGACTCCCATCAAAGTATGGAGTTGGTTTTGAGTAAACAACCATGAATTGATCGTTCATTCTTCAACTACACTGACAGGAGCTGTTACTACTAAATCAGGTAAGGAGTTCCAGTCGTTGACCGCTCTGTAAGAGAATCTAAACTCCACACGCATTTTAATCGTCCTCGGTTTGAGCATCTTCTTGTGGTGACCTCGTAACTGTATCCTAGAGGGAGAGAAAAGGTTTGAAAGGTCAATTCATGAATCACCCTTGAATATACGGTGAGCCAAAATTAATTCGCCTCTCCTCCTTCGGTATGATAGTGGGAAGACACTTAAGTGCTCCATCCTGATGTAATAAGGAAGGCGTGAGGTACCACCAACTAATTTCGTTATCAGGCTATCATGCAGATATGTCTTTTACCGTTTGTGTGTTTGGACAGGAAATATCGTAAGATGAAACGTTATCTCTAGGTGGGTTTGATCTATATTTGCAGAGCAATATGAGTTATGTGGATTCGGTGTATAAAAATGTCTCTACCTTATTAATGTGCCTTTGTTTGTTTGATTCACTGCTAGGCTAACAAATGCAGGTGGTTCTCATGATTTCTGCAAGTGCAGTGCATTGGAAAAGGCAATTACTCGTCCAGTTTTCCTCACTATTTTACTTAACATATTAGTTCAGTATACGGTATTGATATACACATGAATTGTGTTGGTTATGAGAACTTCCGCACCATTCCCACTGACACTGAACACTTAATGCTGCAATATTTTTGATCACCGATGGTGAAGATGAATTCCTCCTGAAATTTATATTTACACGAAGCAAAACAGATGCAGTATCATGATTGAATGCCTAGGCTGCATTATATGACATTGCTATCCTCATCAACGCAACAGGCCTGTGTATCTTACAATATTTTAAGTGTTTCTCTATACTTTTAACACTGTGCATAGTCGCTTAGAGCTGAAGCATGTTCAATTTATATTTGATGGCTACAGCTTCCTAAATATGAGAATGTAATTTCTGTGGGATTCATAAAACTGTGTTCACTAGACATTAGCGAGAATGTGGATCGATTTCTAAGTATCACATTTGCAATACATCCTTTAATGTGAATATATTTAGCGTGAAGTTGGTCTGCAAGTAATTTTGATGAGAGAATGACGCCTCAGCAGTATGGATGTTTCGGATATTGTCTTGAAATTTGCGTATAATCCTCTAATACTGGAAAACATGAGGTCTGTTTAATAATAATAATGATTTACTTTATTCCAAAAACAGTACCTGTGATACAGAATGGAATTTTCAGCATTAATCACAATATTGCATCTAATTTCCTCAAATTATAAATAAAATTAATCACACAGAAAATTTTCCACATTTACAATAGAGGTATTGTCAAAAACATGCAGCATATAAAATGGAAATAGCAATAATAATGATAACAGTTCGGGTAATAATAATAAGAATACAAGTGAAAATTGCCGTTGGCTTGTGTCACACAGTATTGGCAATGTGGTATAGAAATCCTAGCATGTTTAAAAATATTGAGTATAATGTTCTCTTTACATGATATGGTGAGGGGAAAAACAAAGATTACAGCAGTCATAGAGATAAGCTGGTGTTTGCAATTATGAGAGTAAAGCAAACAAAGAAGCAACAGGACCATAAATATAATAGAAGTAATAAAAGTAAAACTTGAAGGTATATAAGGATGGATGGATGGAGGAAATTGTTTATTTACTAGATGAAAAAAGGTTAGTTAATTGTTGCCTGACACTATTTTCATCACATAAAATACGTGCCAAGTATGGTATCATAGAATTTTCATACTTAGACGTGCGAGCATACAGTTTTCTGAAGTTACTTCTTGTTCTACCTGAGGAGATGCAAGGTGAAAGCTGAGGGTAAAGCGGATGCTCCAAGTCAGACAAAATCCCTTTAGCAAATTTATTGCACGAAGTCAAGTGCCTATCGACAACGACGTTAACTATGTGGTCCACTGGGACACCACTCACCCTACTGACAGTCTTCAGTATTCTACGAATTGTGACATAGTCCTTTTTAAGCAAACCAGGAAAGAATAAGGGTGAACAATAAAGAAGAATAGGTAGGATGCAAGAGTTTATGAACTGTAAGAGGAGGGGTTGGTTGAGTTATACCCGAGTGTCTTAACTTCTTAATGTAAAATGTCAGGCGGAATATTTTACTGGAGATTGCTAAGACATGGGAAGACCAGGAGAGATCAGAAGAGAGAATGAGTCCAAGATACTTAATTTCTGATTTGATTCCTATATCATTGTCGTCAATTTTACAAGTGTCATGAGAATCGATGACTTCTTTTAACTGTCGTTTACATCTTAAGCTGAAATCAACAGTTTGACACTTAGAAGGATTCAGTTTAAGACCGTTAGACTCAGACCATTTGCTGACTTCCGATAGAAAGCTATTTATTTTAGTACAATCTAGCTGGGAGTTAACAGCCATTGAAACCGTTAAATCATCAGCGTACTTCACAAAGTTTATTTCATCAGAGTGAGGCAAGTCATGCAAGAAGAAAGAAAAAAGAAAAGGAGAAAGAACAGCACCTTGAGGGACACCAGCTTCAGTAGGCAATGAAGTGGAAGACTTCCCTTTATATACGGTGTACTGCTTTCTATCTGAGAAATAGGAATGTAACCAGTTAACAGCCCAACATTCTGTTTGACTAGCAGCAAGTTTATTTAATAAGATGTCCCTAGGGACCGAGTCGAAAGCAGATGTATAGTCTAGGAAGGCGCAACGAACAAATTTAGCCCCCTTGTCTAGACTGGAAGCAATGTTATGATATAAGACGGCAGCTGCATCTAAAGTGCTTCTACTGTGCTTATAGGCGAATTGTTTAGGGTCATTAAAGGATTTAAGCGAAGGTACAAGACTAAGTAAAAGTAATTTCTCCATAGTTTTCAAAAAAGGAGAGGTAATAGCAATGGGTCTAAATTTGACACATGCTCCAGTATATGATTTAGGTATGGGTACAACTTTAATGTCCTTCCAAACGGCAGGCACAATATTATCGGAAAAAGATTTGTTAAATAGATCAGTAAGAGGGTGACACAGAATATCAGAACATTTTTTAAAAATAACACTAGGTACATAATCGGGACCTAAGCTCTGGGA